GGAACATGAATAGGAAACGTTTTTCTGCAGAACAGTGAGTGCTCTGGGCTTGGGGCAAGAAGGGCTGTGTTCAAGTGTATCGAGCAGAAAATGAAATGTTAATCACTTAAGTTTATTAAATCGGCAGCAATGATCTGTTTGAACCTGGTAAGAGGCCTGTAGTTAGCATGCTGCTATCTCAAGTGCCTCTGGTCTTTTTTTTGCCTCTGTGTATGTGTGTGGAAGCTTTGGAGACCAGGAACAAATGAGCTTGCATAAGAGATGTGGTGAAAAATTAGTACCAGGAGGAAGGTGGTTTTAAACTGAGAAGGTAGGAGGATTTCCAAATAGCCAAAGTGTTTTGGGTAAATTTGGAGCCTGGATGTAGTCATCTGTGTAGGTGCCCCACATTTTAGTCCCAAAGACTCTCATGTTTTGCAGAAAAACTTTCACAAATGTTACTGTTGAGCAAGCTGTTTAAATGACATCTCTAAAACTCCTGGTTGTAGAAGAAAGTTATTTTCTGTAGCAGAGGCAATCTTAAATTTTGCTTTCTCTCAAAAGAGATAGATTTAAAGTAATTTCTTTTAATGGTCTTTCTCACCTGCTGCATTGCATATTTTGGCCTTGGAGAACTCCAGGAGATGCCTGTCACACTCCAGAAGGGCATTTGGTGTTGTTTCATTACTCAGTTACCTGTCACTGTTATACCCTCCCTAGCCCACCTTGTGGTGAAAGCAAGGTAAGTTATGGAGGGAATGGTCAGGTGCGTGTATAATCCTCATGCCTGGCTCCAGGGTACTTTGCATCACCATCCTCTGAAACCAAGAGGACTCTCTATGGTTTGGTACGATTTTTGCAACACAAACACAACAGTGCAGTCTTTGGGGACTGAGAGAGGCATTTTGTTTGCTTTGCCATGTCATGAAATCTCATTTCAGATTTGTAATGGGATTTTTGTTTTCCTTTGGTTGCTCAATCTCTCTTCTTTACTTTATAGCCTTTTCTGTAGCTCTCCCTTAATACCAATTTCATCTTTTTGCCTTGAATTTATCCCTTTATTCAGTAACAACTATGGGCCTCCTCTCCCTTTCCTTCTCCCTTTCCCTCTCCTCTCCTTCTTCCTTCTTCAGTAGGGTGGTTTTTTTTCCTTCTAAAAACCACTGCAATTCTATGTGACAAACAGGAACACACGTTTGCTTTCCAGTTGAGGCTAAAGACAGCCAGCTACTCCAGTGATTTTGTCTTTAGTAGAGAGTGGGGGACGGCCTGTCGCATGGACTTCACTGCCTTCACAAGATAGCATGTCAGCAGAATTAGCTGCAGAGAGTGATTTTCAGCAATAACAGCGTGTGTTGTGCCTCCTCATCAGCTTCTCAGATACGGAAATCATGTGTTCTTTCTGTTGCCAGCTATGTCTACATCGTGATTTTATGGCTCTGATGTAGGGGAGACATATCTGAGATAGCTTTAGGCTTGTCTGCTCAAGAGCTGACTTCTAGACGTGGGAGTGGGGGATCTTTTTGCTAGCTGAAAAATCAGCCCGAAAAGTGAGGTTGATACAGCTATAATTAGCCAAGGCTTAGCTGGGGCGGTGACTTCAGTGCTGACAGCACTGGGAATTCCCCAAGTCTGAAAAAGAACATAAGAACCTTCTTTCTTTCCCTTATTGCTGTTTAGAAGGACCTAATGCTATTTAAGAGAAAAAAACCAAAACAACATGTACATATGAATGCTGAGGAAGACTTCCCTTAAAAAGGGAAAACATATAAATTATTTATAGCTACTGATATTCATGAGTATTAGGTATTGATCTTCTTGTCCCTGTCTTCCCAATAAAAAGGATGTTTTGGTTTGAGTGGTTTTTTGTTTATTTAAAAAAATATATTTAAAAATCTGAAAATACCAGTGTCTAAAAAATTTTAGCTTAAAATTGAGTGTTTTGGAATTGGTAAAAGCAGGATTAGGATGAAAATGCTCACACATCTTTGATCACAGTGACTGCTGTCCTCCTTGCTGTTTGTGGTTTCCACTGGTCTCTGGCACTGCCATTTCTCAAGATGGTTTATGCTGCTCTGTGTCAAGTTCTGTGCAGAGGAATGTGATGATTTTGCTTGGCTTAGGACACACTTTGTTGGAGAAGTTTTTCTTAGGAGTACAGAATATGTTTAAAACATTATTATTATGATTATGATCCTTGACAAAAATAGTCTAGACAAAGCATAAACTCTAGGTCCAAAAATATATTTAAAAATTAGCTAGTCTGTTCACAAACCATTACTTACCTCACCCAGCAGCTATTTATGAGAACATTTCATACTGTTTCTAATTTTAAACAATTAATAGCCAGCCCTAGCAGTTGAATACTCATTTATTAGACAGTTATCCCCTCCGGTTTTTCTGCACATCTTGTTGCTGTCAAGTATCTTTGTACCCAGCCAAAAATGACACATTGAAACAAGCAGTGTATATTTAATGCAATGCATAGGGAAAAACCCCATCATGTTCAGGCCTGGCTTTTAATTTTTGTTGGAAATATCATGAAATACAGTAGCTGGACAAAGAAGTGAATTTGCTTGTTAAGAGTCTGGTGGATTTTAAGTAAACTCCTTAATGCGTGGCTTAGTCACAGGCTTTTTTTCTTGCTTGTTATTGACATAATTGCCTGTCAGCCTCATCTGATAGTAGAATTGCTGGGGGCACGGTGTCTTGGATTGTGTGGCAAAACCTGCTAGCTATTGACTTCTGTGCACGTGTGCCTCTGCTCTCTGCTGAATTAAATGTCAGATACACTCAAATGTGTGTGTGTAGGGGGCGTATGTGGTTTGTTTTTCTCTAGTTGCCTTGTCAAGAAGTACAGTAGCACAGTTAATGGAGATCCTTGAGCTCAGAAGAAGGGCATTCTCTTGGCAGCCACCATCCAAACAGTCCAAAAAGATAGCTTCATACAATGGTGGAGACTGTGTGGCTTTGAAAAGAAACTTTTTCAAAGGTGAGGAGTAATAAAGAATATTCTGAAATTGTAGCTTGCAGTTTACAGTCTCCCTTTTTGCCTGGCTTTGCAAAAGATTTATAAAACAAAAGGAAGGGGGTTTGCACCCTTGGAATTTCCAACCTTCAAAGACTCCATATTAAGGTACTGATTTTATTCTGAGATAGTTGCCACTAGAGGAAAAACTTGCTTTCTTCACCTCTACTAAAACAACAGTTTCTGTTTTCACTGTCTTTCACAGCACTTGTGTCTCTTTTTTTTTGCCACGTTCAGTGTATAGCTGTCGTTTTGACATGGACTCTAGAAAAGATGAATGAACTTTCTGAATTGAAGTATGTCAGTGCATCCTCAATACTCAAATCATCAAGTAAAATCTTTCATCAGATCCTACCAGAGAAAAAATAACTGGTTCTGTTGGTTTAGAAGGAATGTGAATGTTGTGATCAGCATCAGCAACAATCCTGTGTGATCCCCAGTATATGCTCTGGCCAAAGGTGCTCACATTTGCAGAGGGGCAGTGTAACCATTACAAATGCAGCTACTTATCTGAGATTTGGTTCAGCCTTTTGTTGAAAATAATGATTGTGGAAGGGTTTTTTGTTTGTTTTGTTTTATTTTAAATATACATTTTTGTTAATGAACTTTTAACTGAGAAAGAGTTTTCCTTGTCTCAAGCTAGCAGCTCTGGTGAAACTGGTGAGCTTTCTGCACTGCTTTACAACATTTCCAAGTAATATCTCTCTCAAGTAGTTTTGGATCTTTAAGTTTCTACGTGAGTTTGATTCCAGCTCCCTCCTCAGCAATTGTAAGCAGGTGTTTTTACTGACCATTTTTGTATCTAAGAATTTGTGAAAGAAAATTGCTTCTAGTGACCTAATGATGTTACTGCAAAGAACTTACTGGATCATGTGATGCAAACAAAAGAAATCAGACATTGCATTATTTATTTATAGGAATAAATATAGTTAGCATTTATTTATACTGTTCTTCAATGCCGAATGCTGTAATCTTTCCCTTACTCTGAACTTTGAACTCTGCTGTGAAAATAGCATTATTGCCACCATTCTGCAGGTTAGGAGACCTTGGCAGGAAGACTTAAGTATCTACTCTAGGCTATGTAACATATAATTATCTGAACTAGGATTAGATGTTGGGAGTCTCAACTCCCAGTGTTTCATTCAGACGTCTTTCTCCTGGAAGATAAAATCTATGGATTATGAAAGCTGAGGAGGTAAGTAATGATAAGGACAGGATGATCACACAAAGTGACTTGGTCATTTGATCATTTTGACTATATCAAATGTTTTAAGTCTAGCCAGAAGCATGGAAGGGGACAGGATATGTTGGCCTGCCCTGGAGAGAAGCCATGCTCCAGAGAGCTCAGTGTCACAGGGTGAAACATTCCTATAGGAGCTTCCAGTGAGGATGTCTAGCAAAAAGGAGAGGAGTGGGATACATAAAGTCATACTCAGCTTTAAAAATAAGGAAGTAATGGATCAACTTAGCAGGTAGATTTTTCTCACTCTGATGTTTAGGATTAGTATTTGCTCATGCATCAAGTGCAGAAAAGAGTCACAGAAATAATCTGAAGGCTACTGAGAAAACGTCAAGGCAGAGCTATAGGAAACATTTTCCTGCTCTCAGAAGATTGGAATGATGATTTACTTCTAACTCGCTTTTTCGTGGTTTATGTGTTGCTTGTTGTTCTTCTGGAGAGTTTGGGAAGATGGTGTTTCCTTCGGTCTGGCTGTTTGGTCTTTCCACTGCGTCGTTGTAGCTGCCCAAACTGTCTCATTTTAGTGCTAGATTAACGTTTGCTACAACACCTGTTCTCTCCCTCCTGATGTGTGGCTGGGAGAAGGGGAGACAAGTGCTCTCCTGAAGCAGTGGAGGCACGGCAGGGACTTGCCCTGCTGACGACAGAGCGCAGCCTCTGCGCTGGGACGTTATTATTCCTCACGCCTCTTCCATGTCGCTCTTTCAGGCAAGCTCTCGAGTTCCCTCTGAGAAGGAGCTGCCCTCCATCGAGATGTCACGGCACCACAGCCGGTTTGAAAGAGAGTACCGGGCCGGGTGGGATCGCCGGGACTGGAGCTCCAACGGCAACCACGTCAGCAGCACCAACTGCAGCAGCGCCGGGAGCACCAACAGCAGCAGCCGCCCCGGGCTGCTGCCCCTGCCCATCGTCCCCTCCCGGCTCCCCACCCCGGCCACCGCCGCTTGCACCACTGTCAGCAGCGACGTGATCACCAGCCTGGTGGCCAACTCGTCTCCAGCTTCAACTACCAAAGTATGAATTTTGCTTTTTTTATTATTTTTTTTTATTTATTTCTTCTCCCCCTCGGGGTCAATGTGTTGAGGGGACATTGGAGACGGAGCATCATCCGTCCCTTTGCAAAATCTGTGTTCACAGTGTAGCCAGCAGGAGGAAAAATGTTTTCTACAGACAGCCTGTGTCTTTTTATTCTTTGCTGTGCTGTGTGTACAGTCGAGTAGGTTGTCCTTGCTCCGAGAGTGAGGGTTCCCATGCTCCTGAGGCCCAAGACTGAGCAGAGCAAGTGCTTCCTTCCTTTCAGCCCTGCCTACATTTGGGCTTTCTCTTGCTTTCCTTGCAATGTTTGGTCCCCACTTTTGCTTTTGGAAATGCTCTTCTTGTCTGTTGACCAACTGTGGTTCACAACAAGTGGATCTGGTTTTCATCCAGAGAGAGTGGGAAGTGACCAAAGGGCATCATTTTGGCTGAATGTTGTTTTTTCTTCTCTTTGGTCAGTACTTTCCTGGAAGGTTTTCAAAGCCTCGTTCTCAGTGCACACTGGATTTTAACAGTGCGACTGCTATAACCAGGCTCTCTCCTTTGGTCAGAAGTGCACACTAAGGAGTAAGAAAATGTTAAGCTGAAAAGAATTGAAATCACTAGTAAACCATTGAGCTTTTTTGTACTAATAAATAATTGGAGGGAAGAGGGTGACTCTTCCTCGTTTTTTAAAACATTGAGCTCTTTTAAATCTGTAAAGTAGAAGTTGCTATTCCAACATTCCAATCCAAAGTTGGGATTTCTTTCTGCATGCAAATTCAGGTAGAACAGCTGGGGAACAGAAAAGCCTGGCAAATTGTAAAGGTGACCACAGCATTAGCAAAGTGAGCCAGAAGCACTGCTGGTTTTCTTTTTATGATACTTAACATTTTCTTTCAACTTGATTTCATTTTAATAACTGCAAGTGCCAAATACAGCAGACGCAGACAGGGGAAAAGGAGACAATAAAGTTATTTAAAGTAAGCCAAGAGCAAGCTGAAATTTTACTGCAATACCATTATTATATTGATTTTTTTTCACACTGTAGAGAAACAAGGTCGATGCTGCAGAAGGAAACATTAGGCCGGAGTTTACAGTGTGATTGGTTTTAAAAATTTCCCATGGCAAATTTTCATTTGAAAGATGCCAGTCAGATTCTGATCAAAACATATTCCGAGTTCTCCAGATGCTATCCACAGATAGATACATTTCATTCAATCATGCTTTGTCTGGAGAAGATTGAGGCAATTTTGGAGCCAAAGCAGTAATTTCATTTATCATGACCTTTGTTCCCGGGTCTACGTAGAGTCCAACCATTATCTGGAGCTGATCAGCCCTTCTTCCAGATGTTCAAAACCATTTTGTAGCGTAGCAGTGCCAGTAAACCATGTGTTTACTGGGGGAGAGGAGGCAGGAACAGCAAGTTAAATGCTTTTTGATCATATGTTCAATGTGAACTGTCTTCTAAATTACCTTATTAGAGAATTTGCTGATGACTTTCATTAGTAAGAGTGTTTTGGCATGAATAGATCAAAAGCAATAAATAGATAAGAATGGAGCTAACATGGGACATTTTTTATTCTGAGAAATGTTAATCAGCTGTGTAATCTCCCGTAAAATAACTGTGTAAAAGTGCATAGTCTTTGCCCCAGCGTTTACTTCTGAGAATCAACTGAACAGCTCTAAAAAGTCAAAATTGCATGTACTAAAGAGGAAGAAACTTTGGAAGAGAAGTGAGGTAGGTAGGATGAACAGAGATGTAAGGGTATGGTTCCTAACAAGCTTCCAGCTAATGATGTGGAACAGTGTCAGAAAGAAACATCAGGTGCTCATACATACTCATGTTCACCCTGCCTGACTCTGTCTCTCTCCTTCGCACACAGCAGATTTACACTTGTGGTTAGCAATGTAACCAGCCAGTGCCTTTGCCTTGTAGAATCCAGCTAATGGTTAGGCATAAAAAATTAAATCTGTATAAGGAGGGAATCACAAGTCGCAAGAACAACGCAGGTGCTTGGTTTATTTTTTTAAAAAATGAATGTGCTGAGTTGCCTTGAGCTGTGGAGAGTTCACAGGCTGTCCTCTCTAGCGTTTTTGTGAGCATATTTATGAGGCACCAGCTCATGGGGTGTCATCTTAAGTTGAATTTCTTAGCTCTGTTTTCTGGTCAGGGGTATTTGATTGCTTAGCTGCTGCTCTGCAGTCTGAGCCTTCCCCAACATTGTGGTGGGTATCATTAAACTCAATGCAAGGGAGTGCCCCACACAAGAGCTGACATGGTGAATAGAGAAAGTAATCATGGTGTTATGAAGCAAGAAGATTGAGAACTTGGTTCTCCTTGCAACATTGTCCAAGGAAGGGAGTACAGACAGCTATTTTCCTCCAGGCTGAGGACAGATGTGTCATCCAATTACCTTTTTTGCTTTAGCGTATCTTCCCTTGCTGGTTGGAAGATCTCAAAGCATTGAGACTTACCATCCATCTCCCTTTACTTTGTGTTCCTATCAATTCATTATCCTCTCAGCTAAAAGCTGGTTTAATTTTTTATTTTAATTCATTTAGTCTGTTTTCAGACTTCTGGCCCTTGGTTGCTCTCATTTCCTGCCGTTTACCTGATTTAGTAGCCTCCAAATAACTTTGTGTCTTTTGCATCCTCTCCGTTCTTTCTTTGCCTTTGAAAATACAGGTACCAGAACCATGTGCATTCTTTCAGCATCAGACACACCATTCCTTTGCATGGTGATAGAACTGCTCCTTTCCTCTGTTTCCATGTCTGCACAGCTAATAATCGCTCCAGACTCTTTTGTCAAAGTGCTAAGTCAATAGTTATTAAAAATACCATATACATGCCATCATCCTCTATTACATGTTATCAAACAGAGCTGTAATCTTGTCCAAGGCTGAAATGAAGTTAGTTTGACAAGAACTGTCTTGTGAATACCTGTATTGGCAGGCACTGGTCATATTCTTGTCCTTCAGCTCCCAATTAACTGAATCCTAAAGAGGCAAATTCAAAATGGAGGAAAAAACTTCTTTTCTTTCTGACATGGAACTGGGCTGTAAAACTTGTTGTGTTGGTGATAGAATTGGTCAGGGAATTCATAGATAAATTATTTTAAGGACTGCTAGGCTATCTAATCTGGCTGAACCATTTGGTCTTTAAATTATTATGTAAATGTATGTAAGATTAAGGACTTCACCCTGCGTTATGTGATACAAATGGAAAAAGCACTGCAAAGGAGAGAAAAATGGATCAAATTAACTGTAGGAGAGAGGTGAAAGCATCTTCAGAGGCAAACCTTATAACACCAACTACGAGGAGGTTCAATTTGGTCTGTGTTTTTATGCCTCTGGAAGAGCCTTTTACATCTTTCTTTTGAGGGCTTTAGAAGGATTTTATTACTAATTATTAATGTGTAGGAGAACTTTAAAACTAATTATACTTTGCAGACCTTTGAAATTTATTCTCAAAGTGTACCTGTAACCTTCTTACTACAGATGCTTCAGTGCAAATCACACTTAGTGGATCTGCCACATTTAAGTGGTTACAGATGTTTGGTCTGAGTTATTTACACAAAAAAAACCCCTCTATTTTCCTGAGCTTCATGTTTTGCTAAACAAATTGGTGATGATGCTTTGCACTGCTGTACCCCATTTAATCAGAGGTTGCCAGAAGAGATCAGAAAACCTATTTAGTCCTCAACAACCTATAAGCAATAGTTTAATGTTGCACTCCCAGTATATGAACAAGGAAACTGAGGCACTGGGAGGTAGTGGTTACTGTTTTTTCTGCTAATTCTGTGCCACAGTGAGCAAAGTTCCAGCTCTTTTCCTTAATTTGGCTTTTATTCCCTGGTGCTGTATTTGAAGTGTTGAGCCACAGAGCAACACTCAGAGTCAGCACAGTTTGAAGGGATGGGTCCTTTTCTGGAGGTACCTGTGCAACCCCTTGAAGACCTGAAGTAGTGGGTAGTAGAGTGCAATTCCTGC